CCCCACAGACAGTAGATAAGATAACAGGCAGGAATATGGACCGTTCTTTTTATAGACACCACACACAATGCTTTTAAAACACCTCTCCGTTCTGCAGAAAACCTTAAACCTATTTAGGCATCACTTTCAAGTCCAACATTATAAAAGCGCCGCTAAAAATACATCTTTACTTTACTTTACTTCCTGCTTTAAGGGCTGCTGTCCTGATTCAGTCTGTGTCTTGTACAAATATATAATACAGTAGATTGAGTGAAGTTTTACGATCTACAAAAGGGAAATCCCATCTTAAAAACAAACAATGAATTATAGTTTAAAGATTTCGTAACTGAGGAGGACAATCCTAAGTCAATTGCTAATATTTCCAGAACTATAGAGGCTTTGCACCGTCACGTGACCCTATAGTAACGGTACCTACGCCACCATGACACCGGGCACACTATGTCATTGACTTCAGCAGCATCGGAGAAACATGGGCAGGTTTTGTTGTGTATTTGGTTGTTCTAGACGCTCTGAAAGGGATAAAACGATTCGTTTCCCACTGTTCCTCTGGAAATTACTCATCAGGAGCTCAAACAAGGGAATTATCGAAAAAAAGACAGGAATTATGTCTAGAGAACATAAACCGCGAAGAGATTTCCTGTGGTACCATCAAGACACACTCACGTCACTTTCATCAAGGTATTTGCTATTTAAATTGTTTCATAGTTTATTTAATGAGAGAAGCACATTTATTTAAGTAAAATGTAAAAAGAAAACATTTGCAGTGTGAGTGGCAGTAGAAACTGGATCTTCCAGCGCACATATAAACATGTCACTCGTCGTAGGACCCATGTTTTCTTTATTGTCTTCTTTATCCACAACTATGTCTTCTAGAATTAATCTCTTTTTGTGAGTGGATCTTTCTAATGTTCACAAGGATCTTTTCATGGCCGATTCTTTCGAGGTTCAGTCACAGACTCTTCGACTCGTGCACCATGTTGATCACAGGAGCCCAGTGTGGGTTCGTTGAATCGTAAACTAGTGCGGGTTTTCCTGGATAAATTAATGACATTTTAGTTCAGTAAATGTACTTCTTTCATTAAATAAACTATGAAACAATTTAAAAAGCAAATACCTTGATGAAAGTGACATGAGTGTGTCTTGATGGTACCACTGGAAATCTCTTCGCGGTTTATGTTCTCTAGCTATAATTCCCGTTTTTTGTATTTTTTCGATAATTCCCTTGTTTGAGCTCCTGATGAGTAATTTCCAGAGGAACAGTGAAGAAATCTATCGTTTTATCCCGTTCAGAGCGTCTAGATCAACCAAATACACAACAAAACCTGCCCATGTTTCTCCGATGCTGCTGAAGTCAATGACATAGTGTGCCCGGTGTCATGGCGGCATAAATACCGTTGCTATAGGGGTCACGTGACGGTACAAAGCCTCTATACTGCTCTTAAATCTGGAAGTTTTATGTTTTTATTACTATTATTGACCATTTTGTGTTTCTAAATGTACATTATTTTAATTTAAAAGTTAATATGTTAAAGGTGCAACTTGTGTAACTTTTCAGGTGGAGGGACCGTCAAATGCTTTTCTTCGTGGAGATGTTATTGCTTTGTCTGGAATGTTTCACAGTATGGCATTAAACGTTTGTATCTTCACAGAGACCAAACCAGACAAAGTTACGGGTCAGATCTGTGGAGAGGCGACCCAGCTCACAGCCATAATCTTTGTTTTTCTAAGTATTTTTGAGCTATAAATCCACCTGTAATTGAATAAATGTAAGGTAGAGCTGTTTAATGTCACACTGTGGAACATTCCAGGCAGAGCAACGAGAGCGTATCCATAGAAACAAGCAGGTGACGGACCCGCAACCAAAAAGTTACACAGCGCACCTTTAATTCGTAATATTTAATGGATTACGACAAATTTTGAGTTAAAAGCGCACTGTGTAACTTTTCTGCTTATTCCTTTTCCAAGAATATTCCACCCTATGGCTTTAAACTTGCCTATCTCCATGGACACAAGCGGGTAACCCCACAAAACCCAAAACGAGTCAGGTCTGTGGACAGGCAACGCCGCTCACAGTCAAAATGCTCGTTATTCTTCATATTTTTGAGCTATAAAACCACCTGTAATTGAATAAATGTAAGGTTTAATGTCATACTGTGGAACATTCCAGGCAGAGCAACGGCGTATCCATAGAAACCCTAATGACGGGTCAGATCTGTGGAGAGGCGACGCCGCTCACAGCATGACTTTCGAGCTATTTCCCTAGCAATAAAAACACCTGTAACTGAGTAAATGCAAGATATTGAAATGCAATGCCGTAACGTGGAACATTCCAGACCAAGCCGTATCATCCCCATGGAGACAAGCTGTATTAGAAAAGTTGCACAGTGCACCTTTAAGTATTCCCTCGCTTAAAACCAATCTTCAATAATGAAATCACACATTACCACGAGTCCAAAAGTCGACGCAAGTTTTGACAAATCCCGGCATATTTGTTTAATGACATCATCTTCTCCACGCAAAACTGAAGCTCAAATAAACCGGTGCGTTCTTTTTCCACCTCCCAAATATCACACCAGAACCACACACACACACACACACACGGTCCGCATCAGAGTGAGACCTCACCTCCGGCGCGCATCGCCCCGTCTTTTCGTCCGGTCCGCCGGTTCTGCAGGTGCTCAGGTCTCCCCCCGTGTAAATCCCGATTCAGTTCGTTTCCTCGGGACGGATCAGCAAACCCGAAATGCCTCTTTAAAAAATAAAAAAAATACTCCAGTGATCAGAGTCATTCATGTACTCCGCGTGCTCGAAGGGTCCTGGCCGGTGTTGTCTTGCGTTTGAGAGAGGTGTCCGTTCTCGGGATAGAGAAGAGAGAGGGAGAGAGAGAGGAGGAGGAGGAGGAGGAGGGGGGATACAGGGGCACTTCTCTTAGGACATCCCACTCAGAGCCACTCCCTTTAAGTCCAGAGGTGGCGTTTACAAGCGGAGAGGAATGTGGCGTGGATAAAGCCGACTGCGTTACTATAAAAACAAACGGCGCAACAAGAATTCATGATATGCAAAATGATAACGTGGCACTTAAAAGATCTATTGTGCGTTCCTCATCTAAAAAATAAATAAAAATAAGACCTGGAGTTGTGGTTCAGTCCAGGTTTGTTAGTTTGGGTTGTCAAAAGTACAGAAAATCTGATACTCGTCGATACTAAAACTGGTATCGAAACTAGATACTCAGAAAGTCACATTCACAGGACAGAAATGAACCTCTCCAGAAAAGTTTTAGAATGATCTTGAGCTGCATCAGAGCAAGTATAAGAGCACACAGATTAGTAAACGCCCACGGACCATTGTGGAACCTACCTGGACCACTGTGGAACCTATACCTGGACCAATATGGAACCTACCTGGACCACCATGGAATCTACCTGGACCACTTCCTGGACCGTGGAGCCTACCAGGACCACTGTGGAACTCACCTGGACCACCGTGGAACCTACATGGATCACTGTGAAATCTACCTGGACCACTGTAGAACCTACATAGACCATTGTGGAACCTACCTGGACCACCTACCTGGATCCCTGTAGAGCCTACCAGGACCACTATGGAACTTACCTGGACCACTGTAGAACCTACATAGACCATTGTGGAACCTACCTGGGCCACTGTGGAACCTACCTGGGCCACTTACCTGGACCATTGTGGAACCTATACCTGGACCACTGTGGAACCTACCTGGACCACTGTGGAACCTACCTGGACCACCTACCTGGATCCCTGTAGAGCCTACCAGGACCACTATGGAACTTACCTGGACCACCGTGGAATCTACCTGGACCACTTCCCTGGACCACTGTGGAACCTACCTGGACCACATACCTGGACCTCCGTGGAGCCTACCAGGACCACTGTGAAATCTACCTGGACCACTGTAGAACCTACATAGACCATTGTGGAACCTACCTGGACCACTGTGGAACCTACCTGGGCCACTTACCTGGACCATTGTGGAACCTATACCTGGACCACTGTGGAACCTACCTGGACCACCGTGGAACCTACCTGGACCACCTACCTGGATCCCTGTAGAGCCTACCAGGACCACTATGGAACTTACCTGGACCACTATGGAACTTACCTGGACCACTGTAGAACCTACATAGACCATTGTGTAACCTACCTGGGCCACTTACCTGGACCATTGTGGAACCTACCTGGGCCACTGTGGAACCTACCTGGACCACTGTGGAACCTACCTGGGCCACTGTGGAACCTACCAGGACCACTTACCTGGACCATTGTGGAACCTATACCAGGACCACTATGGAATCTATGCCTGGACCACTGTGGAACCTACATGGACCACGATAGAATCTATACCTGGATCACTATGAAACTTATACCTGGACCACTGTGGAACCTGGACCACCTACACCTGGACCATTGTGGAACCTATACCTGGACCACTAGTGGAACCTATACCTGGACCATTATGGAAAACCTACTTGGACCACTATAGAATCTATACATGGACCACTGTGGAACTTACACCTGGACCACTGAGGGATTACTCAGATATAAGAGCACATGGTAAAAAAAAAAAAGAATGATACACAAATATAATATAAAAGAAAGTACTATACAATCTATGGAGAAAAAGACTAAAGAAAGAATGTTTTTGTCATCATCTTGGAATCAGAATCGGATTTGAGTATCAAGTCTTTCTCTTAGTTGAGTTTGAAATTTTGTGGAGGTTGTGGGTTAGACTCCTCATCTACTGTTTTTTGTTTGTTGTTTTTTTTTTACTGCTTAAATTAATGATCCCTGGTGGGGTTAATAAAGTTGTATGAATCTGAATCTCTCTGAATGGAGTGTGTATGTCCTCTTCTCCTCCTCCTTCTTCTCATCCATCTTCTCCTTGTCCATCTCTTCCTCCACCTTCACCTGTTCTTTCTCCTCCTCTCCTTTACCTCTTCCTTTACCTTCTACTCCTCCACCTTCACCTTCTCTTCCTGTTCCTTCTCGTCCTTCACCTCCGCCTCCATCTCCTCCTCTTCCTCCTTCTCCTCTTTCACCTCCATCTCCTTTTTCACCTCTTCTTTTCCACCTTTTGCTCCTCTCTTCCATCTCCTCCTCCACATTTCCCTCCTCTCTTCCTCCTCCACCTTCTTATCCCCTTTTTCTCCTCATCCTCCACCTTCTCCTCTTCTTCTCCTCTCCTCCTTCTCCTCCTCTCCTACACCTCCTTCTCCACCTTCTCCTCCTTTTCCTCATCTCTTCCTTCTTCTTCATCTCCTCTCCTCCTCCTCCTTTCCCTTCTCTATGCCTCCTTCTCCACCTTCTCCTCGACTCCTCCTCATTTCCCTCACCTCCTCCCCTTCCACCTTCTCCCCTTCCACCTTCTCCTCTTCCACCTCCTCCTCCATCTTTTCCTCCTCTCTCCATCCTTTTCCTTCTTCTCCATCTCCCCCACCTCCTCCCCTTCTCCACCTTTTTCGAATCCTCCTCCACCTTCTTCTCTTCCTCCCTCTCCTCTTTCAGCTTCTCCTTCTTTTCCACCTTACCCTCCCCTTCCTCTTCCACCTCCATCTCCTCCTCCACATTTCCCTCCTTTCTTCCTCCTCCACCTTCTTATCCCCTTTTTCTCCTTATCCTCCACCATCTCCTCTCACTGAAAAAACGGTCCGAGAGGGGTTGCTCAAATTGCAAAAACAAATTTGACAACAATAACATCACTTTTTTACGTTTCTCTGTCCAGCATGTTTAAATCTTACAAAGGTCACTTGATTGTGGCCGATGTTAGACCTACATGTTTTAATCAGGTTGAGGAAACATGACTTTATTATAATCTGTGGTGAGGCTCCTCCCTCTGGAATTCTCCTCCCCAAAACTTTTGGAGGGAAAATTCAAATGCAGCAGGACACAGGACAGATCCAGGAGCAGAGACACACAGTGTGGAGCAGGAGGATTATGGAGCTGATCTGGAGGTGAGACTTTTTAAAAGATTTTATGTGCTTATCCGACCTAGAATGTCGTCATTGTTAAAATATGTTTGTGTTGTTTTATTTGAAATTAGAGTTAATGTAAGGACTGTTTCCTTGAAACAAATTGTATTTGACTGTCCATCTACAAGAGTGTGACAGTTGTACTAAGATTTGAATGTGTTTGTTCCAGAGTCGTCTACAAACACAGAGTGACGTCCAGGTTCTGCTGGAGCTGAGGGGAAGTTCATGAATGTTACAGCTGATGTTTCAGAAAAAAGGAAGATGTTTGAGAACCAACAAAACACAGAGCACAGATGAACAAAGTAAGTAAACCAACTAAAATTATTTTTAAAATTTTTCAAAATGAACTTCCTATTGAAACTGTTATCGTACTTGTACAAGGTGATGTGGCATTAGGAGACTTTATACCAGATGCCCTCCCTGTTACTGCGTTTAGAGGAAGAAAAGCAGCACATGGTGAGTTTTGTTTCTGCAGATACAGTTCTAATGTTTTTTGTTCTTCTGTTCTGGTCCATTATTGTAGTAATAAGTACTTTAAGTGTATTTAAACATGTACAACAGAGTAGATCATCAGAATGTGATCATCATGTGTTATTCCTGTTTCCACAGGCAGAGACCAGAGCTTCTCCACTGGAATAAATCTTCACACTGTCCAGCTCCAAACTGTGTGTCTCTGTCCCTGTGTGTTTGATTCTGTTTAAGACAATACAGATCTGTAGAAAACTAAAGACTGTTTTTGTATTCTTTTACAGAATTAGATCAGTTAAATTAAATTATACATACTTATACATTTCATGATAAGGTAACATAAGATAAATATGCATATTCAGCATGATTTGTTCAAATTTCATCAACATGAAAAAGTGATGTTCATGTTCCGAGAAAAATATGTGTAGAGGGGTTCGAAAAAAGTTTCAAAGCCTAAACATAATTTTATTGCATGCAACCGCTTTCCATAACTTTTTTACGCAAATCCAGCAACTTTTTTTTTTCAGTGCTTCTTCTCCTCCCCCACCTCCTTCTCCTGTTCCTTCTCCTCTTCTCCTTCACCTCCTTCTCCTCATCTCTTAATTCTTCTCTACCTCCTCTCCACCTCCACCTCCTCCTTCCTCCTGCCTCCTTCTTCACCTTCTTCTCCACTCCTCCTTCACCTCCTCTTTTCCTTCTACTCCTCCTTTTCCACCTTCTCCTCTTTCACCTTCTCCTCCCTCTCCATCTTCTCCTAATCTCTTTAACCTCCTCCTCCATCTTTCCTCCTCTCTCCCTCCTTCTCCCACTCTTCTGTTTCTTCTCCTCCTCCCCTTCCACCGTCTTCTCCTCTGTCACCTTCTCCTCTTCCACCTCCTTCTCCACCTTCTCTTCCTCCTCCATCTTTTCCTCCTCTCTCCATCCTTTTCCTTCTTCTCCTTCTCCCCCACCTCCTCTCCTTCTCCACCTTTTTCGAATCCTCCTCCATCGTCTCCTCTCTTCTTCTTCTTCTTCCTCCTCCTCCTCCTCCTCTCCATCCGCAGACGTGCAGGCACAGGTGGAGAATCCCAGTACTTGTACGAGCCGGTCCTTGAACACTTTGTAAGTACATAAACCAACTGTGAGTGTGGTAATGATTTACAGACAGCCTCCTTCAGCAAACACCCTGGAGACAGACACATTAAACCAGACTAAATGAAAGTTAAATACACAACACGACACACACAAAACATGTATTTAATTTACACAACGTTACTTAACATTTTATGATCTTTCCCTTTTTTATTCATCGGTATTCTTGCTCTTACTTGATTTGACTAGTTTTATTGTTTTAACGTGACTAGAGGAGTTCAATCCAGTTTTATTTCATATTCACAAAGTTGTTGTTATTTTTTATCTGGGCCCAGTCAAGCAGAAGTAAACAACAAGGCCAAAAATTCAAGTTAATGCATCTGATATAAAAATGTATTGAACAGATACATATGTACTCTAGTTTATGAAACTGTTGACCTTTTTTCTGTACCATTTTTAAACAGACCATGTATGAAACATGGAACAAAAATTATTTCCCAGATTTCAAAGACCTGCAAATCATGTAAATAAATTGATGTAGTTCATCATATCTTGTGTTATTCCATCTTTGAACTGTTGATGAAGGTACATGATTTTTTTTTTTTTTATTATTTAAAATGATAAAAATTTGCTTGGAAGGACTGACATATTTTATAGAAATAGTTTCCTTTCATTTTGAAGTAATATTAAAGGGATAGTTCAGGTTTTTTGACATGAATCTGTATGTCATTCCTGTGAGCAGTGTCGTGCATCCACACTGACTTACCCCCGACAGCGTCTGGTGAGCCGAGATACTGGCCGTTTTCAGTGCTGACGAAAGTAGTCCGGCAAGTTGTCTGGGGACATTAAAATAAAACGTTTTTCTTCTCAAAACATCTGTGTTCAAAAGAGTGATATATTTGCATCACAAAACCATCGTCCTCCAAAAAGTCAGACCTCATAATCGCTTGGCACTATTTTCTCTCCATTCGTATCACTGCGCGCTTCCGCCAGGTGACAGCCGCGCACGGATCCATCACTTTCTTCAGTTGTTTAGCTCTCTCACGTCGCAGCGGTCTGAGCACGTAAACACTGCTAATGTCAGAGCTAGAGTGATAAGTATATAAGCTTGTATAAGATACATAAGAATATAACTAAAAAATGGTGCGAACTCTTGATTATCCAGGCTGTGAACCAGGCACGGCTGTCACCTGGCGGAAGCGCGTAGTGATACGAACAGAGAGAAAATAGTGCCAAGTGATTATGAGGTCTGACTTTTTGGAGGACGATGGTTTTGTGATGCAAATGTATCACTCTTTTGAACACAGATTGTTTTGAGAAGAAAAACGCTTTATTTTAATGTCCCCAGACAACTTGCCGGACTACTTTCGTCAGCACTGAAAACGGCCAGTATCTCGGCTCACCAGACGCTGTCGGGGGTAAGTCAGTGTGGATGCACAACACTGCTCACGGGGATGACATACAGATTCATGTCAAAAAAAAAATAATTATCCCTTTAAAGTATTCGGAAGGAAAAAGCTGACAAATTGTGCAAAATCATGCACCTTCTACTTGTTTGCACAATTTTCCCTCTGTTATTTTTCCCTTCGTTACCATGACCTTTCTTAATAAAAAAATCTCATTACTCAAAAAGTAAGAGGTTTTTCAACCTAATCTTGTACCATATGGTAGAAAACTATATGAAGCAAATATTCAAACCAGTTTGTTAAGGATATGTAAGTGAGAACCAAGAGTTATCACTGTTTGTATTTATTGCCCAAAAAGTGCTGCATATTTCATTCCCTCCGTTACCGACATGAGTTTTTAAATTTTTTGTCAACAACTTGAAAGAATATCACAGGTTTAACTTGACCCTGTTGGAGTGTAACTCTTTCCTACATTCTGATACTTTACTTATTTCAATAGTCCCTCTAGTTTCTGAATAAGAGACATTTGAATGTCAAAAATCTGCCCCTGTTTCCCTCCGTTACTGCTTGACTGGACCCAGATGTATGCGACACTTTGGAAACGGTTTTGTTGATGAAATGTGCTAAAGTGGATTAGATTAGAACAGTAAATACAAACAACTGATAGGAGTACAGTGAGTAATGCATAAAGTGATAAAGTGATAAAGGGAGAGTTTGATAAGATTTGTTATTAGTGGGGAAGAGGAGGAGATGGAGAGGCTGAGGGTTCTGCTGCTGCGGTGGACAGAGGGAGGAGGAGCAGGATGATGAAGAAAGGGAAAGGGAGACGTAAATGATTTGGATTTTTCAGGTATGTGCGACTGGAAGAGAGGGAAAGAGGACAGAACTAAGGAAGTGTTTTTTAAAACTTATTCTGTTTTCTTTAAAGATGCAAAAAACCCAAGGCACTCACTGGTTAAAATAAAATGCTTTTATTCATTTACGGTCCCGACGCGTTTCAGCCTGTAGCTTTCCTCAGGGGACAAACATTTTATTTTAACCAAACAGGATCCTGTGTCGCGGGTAAATACGAACACTTAAATGACCAAAATGTCGAGGGTCACAGCAGCAGCCACAGAGAGAGAAGCCACT